CCACTTACCATCAGTTGGACTGTGTGCTCGTTTGTCACCCTATCCTATAAAAAAAGATACAATACGAGACTGATAACTTAAATTCAAAATTTAAAAATCTCCTAAAACAAAGCGGGCTGATGATTTTCAAACGGCTCAGAAGATTTTCTTGTAACATAAGTAAGAACACTCATGATTAAGACCCCTAACAGAAGAACTCAAACGGAAGAAAATCAGTCACTCCCACATTACATACTTACAACACCCTTGTGTTTTCATCAGGTATCAATAAAAGGAAGTCATTTATGTTTTCTCCACTGGTTCGGAAAGATATCTCTGTCCTAGGACACCGGCAAGGAACCCATCATAACTTTTTCAATATTAATTTAAAATAAATTTTATAGCACAAACTAATTTGGTAGTATTTAGAAACACCATGGTAGAAATTGCCTCATTCTCAGTAGTTATTATTAGTTATGTACTCTTTATTAACAAAACATAGAACCATAGTTTCGTACGTTGGTCTTACGTTCGTAACTCAGTGTGAGAACGCTGAACATCGAATCGGATACTATACAATATGTAACGTAATTAACGCACACTCTCAGACACCCCAATTAGTATATTATGTTATAATCATAATACATACACTGAATTTTTAGTTAAACATTTTTATGCACTGATTATTTATCAAATTAGTTATACTAATTCCGGAAGAATGTTGTGGTCACAGTACAAATCGATGAACGCAAAGACTTTATCATGCTTGAAATAAAGTTCATTTTTATTTATTTTTATTCAATGACAGAATTAGTAATAATAACAATACAAATAAAACTGCACTCTTAAAGTCTTAAGTTATGGTCCATTTCAGTTTGTTTTGACTGTACAGATTTAGTGTGACTGTAATTTACGTAGTTTTAATTATTTTTTTGATAAAAAATTACCTATGTTAAAAATGATAGGAATCGATTCAGTAAACGATTCTGAACAAACTACTTTCTTAAAGTGCGTCAATTATGTTACATGTTGTATATAATCATATCATATACATCTACATACATACACATACATCATATAAAATAATCAAATATATATTATATGGAATCATAACCCATTCAGAACATCTTATATAGATATACGTTCTATAAAAGACGTTCTGTACAGTCTCAATTTATGACCCGTAGAGGGCAGGAGAAACTGTACATTTATTATTAAATTTGATACTTTTGCTAAAAGTAAACATGGTAGCTTAAGGATTAAAGGTGTTTTAGAAAGTCATAGGTTCGAATCTACTATTATATAGTTAGTGTGGTGAATTTAATTAATATAAAACTAATATTCTTTTTGTATACATTTTAATACTTTCCACCAGACGTAGAGTAAAAACTAGTTACGTAAACTCAATTTTAAATTTATATCTCATTTTAATTTGATTAATTTCCTAAATAAAAAAATCAAAAGTAATATAAGTACTACATACTTGTGAAAATCTAGTAATAAAATACGATCGAGTTTCACGTGATCGAATTCGAAATGAGGATATATATTTTACGCTAGCATTCTATGAGAGTATGGCCCTACCACTATTAAGTTAACCTATTCGTGCTGCAGCTATATATAATTAACATAATAGCAGCGTGACTTAACCACTTAAACATTTAAAAAATTTAAAACCCACACAGAACAAAATAAGTAGAGTAAGTTCTGGGGCTGACTGTTTGTTCTCGTACAATTTAAGGATGTGTAATCGCGCATTATACAGGAGATAATCCTACTGTAGAAGTAATTAAATATGATTAAATATTTTTTGTATGTTTGCCTGCCCGGCTGATATTACAAATAGCTGAACCGAATGTAAAAAAGCTTCATGAACAGAACGAGATCCAGGAGTGGTCTAGGAGGATTTATTGTGAAATCGAAAAACTGATAAAATATTGATTACATCTCAAGCTACATTCCAAGGAATAAAGTTTCGAACAAAACCTTATTTTGTTTTCAATTTTCACAAAAAAGTTTTCACATTTTCGCAAATCTCGATGTTTTATTGGAAAATCTATTTTATAATATTTTTAATTTCACGACCATTTTACAATAAAACTGTGGGCGGTAAATGTTAAGATACTCGTAGTAAGACTTTTTAACTGAAATCAGTAGATCTTCAATTTTCGTTTTAAGCATTTTTTAATATCACACATAGTACCTATTCAAAATAATGGCAAAAAACTGAGTTTAAAGGAGATTTTGATAAGTTTACCGAAACACCACTATAAAACAACTACAGGTTCTTTTCTGTTTTATTTTTTGTCGAAGTAATCGCGGTTAAAAGTTGGTTATTATATATATATATATATATATATATATATATATATATATATATATATATATATACTATATCCTATCATTTTTAATATAGGTAATTTTTTATCCCAAAAATTATTAAAACTACTTAAATTATTATTATATATATTTAACAGTGCAGTTTTATTTGTATTATTACTAATTCTAGCATTCAAAAAAAAAAATAAAGATAAATTTACTTTATTTCAAGCACGTTAAAGTCTTTGCGTTCGTGGATTTGTACTGTGACGACAACATTCTTCGGGAATTAGTATAACTAATTTCATAAATAATCAGTGGATAAAAATGTTTAAATAAAAATTCAGTGTATCTATTATGATTATAACATAATATACTAATTGGGGTGTCTGAGGGTGTGCGTTAATCAGGTTACATATTGTTATATATATATATATATATATATATATATATATATATTTGTTGTATTATTTAGTTATTATATTATATATGTTATATATTTTTGTTATTTATATTGTAGATTTTTAAACAAATACACCGCAAATAACAGTGTTTCTAGTTGTCTTTGTGGAAAACGGTTTCCGACACAGAAGTAAGAGAGAAGAATACTTGTAATAAGTATTATAATTTAAGTGTTATTGATAATCTTTGTAAATCTGTTAATAAATATTTTCTATTCTACTACATTGAACATTTTATGTATCAAGAAAAATCAAAAATGCAAAATGTGTAAATATTTTAATTTTTATAATAACTCCACTAACGAAAAACATATGTTGTATTGTGCCTTAAATATACGCGTTGATATATTCCCCTACCGTAGACAAGTCGTTTTGCAAAGAAGATACTAATATCTACTGACGTAAGGTAGGTCTTTCTTTTCCTAACGTTTCCAATTTGTGGTAGGTCAATTCCGTAGACAGTGTTAGAACGTAACCGGATACGTCAAGATTTAACGATTCTCAACAATATTCGGTATCAATAGTCTTGTCAAATTGTATACAATATGAAACTAAAAAGTTTTAATTGCTGCTTGTAACAATTAATGCTCAATCTGGTTTCTACTTTCTAGTACTTCAAACGAAAATAAAATTAATGAAGGAAAACTGAGAGTAACTAGTAAAGTGTATTTTTTTTGTTGTTATGAAATACGTTACCTCCACTCAAGGATTTTCTTTTGTATCGTGGAGGCAGTTTACATGGCTAAAATGCACAAGGACAAATATGCAGACTCGTAACAAGTAAATGTGGGCAATATAAATATTTGTTCCGTACTGGATTCGTAACCGCGACCCTCAGCGCTGTAACTTATTGCTAAGCCACTGCCCCCCGTAGCCGTTAAGTTATAATATTGAAAGCGTTACAATGTATTTTTAAATACCGTGCTCCAACATGCTCATAATGTAAATACTGATAACATTAACAAATAACATTTATTTTTAACGTCTTTTTTTTAATGAAATTGAAATGACAAACGAACTACCATTGCACCTGATGATGAGTGGATGCTGCATGGAAAACAGCAACTTTAAATACAGAAGAGGGGGGAAACGCATGCGGCTCTCCTGATGGTAAGTGACTACCGCCGCCAATCAACAACTGCACCACCAAGAGAATTGGAGGTGCGTTGCCGACCTTTAAAACAGAGCAGGCTCTTTGCTCTTTTCTTAGGGACCTCTCTTTACACTACTACTGGAACAGTCTGTAAGGTAAAGACAGAATTGATACACAGCAGTGTACGAACTGCTAATTAGCAACAGAAATAGAAAAGTGCATGGTCTCTATACAGACAAAATCGTGGGCAGCAAATTAGTGTATTACTTGGTTATTAGACACAACTTTACAAAGCATAGATTTTTTTCAACGTTTTCGTAAATTCGTTTTCTATAAATTTATCAATACTGGCAGCTGAATACAAAAATTAGACTTTAATCAGCCTCAAAGATTCGTTTGTATGTTGCAGTAACAGCTGTCCCCAGTTCTTCTGATATGATAGTTTTTTTACAGTCGAAACTTGGTGTAAGGTGTGGATAATACACGAGGTAGATACCCGAATCAATAGCCGGACTCGGTGCGGTAGTCTCGCAAACCAACTTTCAGTCAAGGTGAACCTTTACGGGTGCTTTTTAGGTCGAAAACGTTCAATGTCAAAACAGCCGCAGAACTAAATTGCTTACTAAATTAGCTCTTATTCACACGCAGGGCCAACCAAGTCCCCAATTTTAAGTCTAAGCACGCTCGAAATTGTGGAGGAATGCTATTTCCCTAATAGACACATAATTAGGCGTATTAAGGGTACCTTGTGGCTCAATGAGATTTTTCAAATATTTCACTGGTTGTGTTGGTTGTGTGTTTCACATAATATATTGCATTCGCCGGCATCCATTAGTTTAGCACCCGCATTGTAACGAGCAACGTCGCTAATTTTTATTATCGAATTTGTATACGTTTTGTAAATAAGTAAATTCAAATATAGAGACGTCCCATTAAAGTTGTAATATAAACTTTTATATAAAGTCTAATTTAGTATATGTTCACTAAAATATTCTAATAAAATATTAGTTTAAAAAATTATTAAATCAGTGTATTCAAAAACTCAAGTCAACAATTGAATCTAGTCATTTCTGAAAGATAAAAAATTAAAAAACAAATTATTATATTATTCGATCGAAAATCCGCGTTTTATTTTAAAAACTAGGAACTTACTTTTTCCGAGGCTTGCGGCGGGGTCTACGCCTTTCACCCTCGAGTTCATTTTCGAGGCCGCGTCGCCTCGGCGCACTAGGTCCCCGTCGCCGCTCCAGCTTGCGCTCTTGTTGAGCCTGGCGGGTTGCTTCTAGTGCAGCCACACGTGGCAGGCACTCATCTTCTTCAATTAGTTTAGGGGTCTGCGGTGCGCCCATCCGAAGATGGCATTGACGCCACCACAGCACCCACGAACTGATGTTGTCGCGAATCTTGAAGAACAACGACCCAGTACCGAGCTCTAACTCCGCGGGCAGCAGCCGGACGCTTTATGGCAGCGATCTAAGATTAAAATAAGTCAACCCGGACCGTTCCTTATCAACTAACTTAACTCAATAGTGGCAGGCGCTGGCAGTGAAAGCTGGTCGGAATAAAGCGAAAAATGGCAGTGAAATCAGCAATGGCAGTTCAGTTCCCGCTCCTCGCGGCGTCCAGTTGATTTCGTCAGTCTTTAAGTTTTCATTTGATCACATTGTCCACTCACAAGCGGGAAGCGTGTAAATTACACTACTTAGAAACCTATAGCTTAAAAATATTTGGCAGGAATGTGTTGGCGGTGTTCACGGTGGCTACATTTTTAAGTGTTGCCGTAGGGGTGCGTGGTGGTGACCGTGATGGCGACTCGGGCCTTGGCAGTGTTCGCGTGGGCGGTCATGGTGTGCGCGTATGGTCAGCGGTGGAGTAAGCGTAGCGCGCGAGCTGGGCCGTCGCGCTCAACAGATGTCGAAGTAAATAGCGTTACGTAATACAGCGTACCGAGCGCGGATGTGGCGCGTGTGAACGCGACAATGCCAGACGCGCGAATGTAGCGGAGACTTCGCTTTCGCTCGCATCGCATGGAGCCGTGCCGTTTCCCCTAACCCCCAAACCCCCAATGCTCCGCCGCTCAACCCCCGCGCCACCCAAATATCGCCGCCTTGTCGTACCTGTGACGAGGATGCCTTAACGCTATTGTCCTTAGCGTTATTATTTGGTTTTCGGTCTGAAACATCGGAGGCTCGGTCAGATAGAAATTCCCAAACCACTTCACTCTGACGCTTCATTAATAAACTCTAAATAGAGTAATGTTTATTTGAATTGTTTCGATACGCCAATGCGTATTTTAAATACTATTAGTATTAAGAAAATATATCTTATTTAAATACTATCTATACATACTCGCATACGTGTTCCGATTAAGTTGCAATCGTTGCGCATTTTTAATAATATAAGATCTGTAATTTATAGATCTTAATATTTTATTAAAAATGAACTAAAATTCTTATAACTATATTTCTATATTACTATAATTTCTTTATTAAATTTGATATGGTTCAATTAAAATTTAAATAAAGCTCTTGGGTATATTAGATCTTCGAACTGTTCGGACTTTCTGGAAAAACATTTTTATTTTATTCATTTGAATATGTTTTCCATATTCGTAACCATCGGGTCACATTTACCGAGATCAGGCTGGAGGCTGCGTAGCCAGCAATGTTTTTATTGCCTCAGACGTATACTTCAAGGTCAAGGGAACGTTCACTTCGCCCATATTTTATGAGAACTCTCAACGTCCAGACACGTGAAGACCTTTGGTCGCATTGCGTATGTAATGGTCACAACTTGTTTAATGTACTTCGTCGAAGTTTATAATATGGTTGACATCTTAATGACAAAAAGTTGAAGAACAGAAAATATAGTGTAAAATGATAATGAACTGGTAAACGAAATAAAATAAAGTATCAACAGTGAAATGTTTTCGACATTATCCGTCATTTCTAGTAATTGCGTCATTTTAATTTAATTTTGATTAAACTCTCGTTGCTATGAATTAAGTCTCGTAATTGTGTTTAATAATTAATTAATATAGTTGATATAATAATTTCTATTCTAATTATTTTTAAATAACGTTCAATTTATGTTACAAAAATTATAATAAAGAACTTAACTAAAATAATAATTAAAATTATAATATTTACGATTAAAACTAATTATATAAAATATAAAAGAAGAAACTATAAAATAGAATATCTAAAACTAAAAATTTAAATCGTCAAAAAGACCTGCTCCCCGTGGTATAGTGCCAAGAACGCTGGCTGCGTTTCCTCGCTGAATAGCTATACTTAGCCTTTGAGCGAGGAAAGAACCAGCCCTCTTATCACCAGCAGCGACGACCAGTCGTGAATACAGTTCCTTTAGAAACTTCATTGCACGTGGACCCCACGGACCGATAGTCTACAGCAAATGGCACAAATATGTAGTCATTTCTCAAAGACTCATATTTGCGCCATTTACTAAATTTGGCTGCCTCTGATGCCGCCCCGGCTCTAAAAGAGGTACCCTTGAGATGAGAGGCCGCCAAAGTGTCGACGCAAGTAGCATCCCACACTAGGGCTTTACCTTTCTCCCAAGGGACCAAAGTCATACCGTCGGGTCTCTTGCCATCGTCTCTAAATATCCTGCAAGGCTCTAAAACCGAGGGGATATTTATAGACAACTGCCCTTCGGATGATTTCGTTCAAAGAACCGTGACGGGAAAACCTACCTGCACTTTTCTTGCATAAAAGTCCGTGGAGCCCAAACTCATCGACGCTGCTACCACAGGGGCACTGGTGAGGTTGACAAATTGCCACTCCTAGCCGGATTCCTACGGCGATACGCAAGCTTTCCCCATCAAGCAATGTGCCGAGATTACTGGATGGTAGAGCATGTAATTTACATTTATGCTGAAACTAATTCCTTTTTCTTTTTTTTTATTTATATTCATTTAACATAAAAAAACATAATTAGTTATTTTTACAGTCTGCCAAACTCAGGAGTTTGTTGGCAGAAAAATGCTCTCTTACTTTCTAACATGCAAAAAAAGAAAAAAAAAGAACTAGCTTAACACAATTATACTACCACTAATATGACAAACCAATAGTATTACTATAACATTATTCAATAATTTAAAGGATAACGGCATTTTTCATATATGGATAAATTTTGCATGTACGCTTACACATATATATACATACATGCGTACAAATATATGCATACCTAAATATTACAGCTTACCTATGATGTTGTACAATGGATCGTCATGATACATTCCATTTTTACTTTTTAATAGTATAAAGTTTTTTTTAACTTATTTTTAAAATGTTGTTTTGATTTATGCGTAAGGCATTCATGGGATAAATTGTTATAAATTTTTGCTACTAAATGTTGGATGGTTCTTTTACCATAATAATTAGCACATTTATATTATAATGTTATTACTTTATGTGGGCCTATTATAAATACGATGCGTCACAAAGATTGTATAAAACTTTTCACATGTCGCAAATGATATTTTAAATTGCTCATGTATCGGTATTAAATTACACTCCTGGAAGAGCTGCTCGTAATTATCCCTATATTTTAATTTAGCTTTTGGCTTCACTAATATTTTCATAAATCTAATTTGAAACTGCTTCAATTTATCTAAATATGTTTTAAATGTCCTTCCATATGCTACTAATAATAATTATTTACATCAAGTTATATACGATGGCTCGGTAACTGAGAGGTTTATTTGGTTGCTTTATACTAAAAGTTCGAATCCTCATCAAAATATAATTCATTTGTTTGGCCTTTCATACAATATTTCCAGTCTGGATGCATTTTAATTTATGTTTATACAATTCTCCCAAGATACGGGGCTAATTTCTGGCATTGTTTAATATCCATACAGAAATATTCAGAAGGATCGTTAAAAATATTACACAATATTTGGGTGACATTTTGTCCTTTTAAATATACTCAGGCAGGTTGCTACATTAGTGTATTTTGGAGAGTATTATGTTTACTATCAAATTTCACACAAACTTCCGCAATGGCTTAAGATCAAGTAATCTTCAAAAGGCGATTGGTGTTGATGATATTGAATATTTTTACACAACAAAAAAGTTTACGTGTTAGAGGCATGCTGCAGCTATGGTTGTAGCTCGACCGGGGTAGGACCACGCTCTCACAGAATAGCAGCGTAAAATAGCAGCTTAACGCGGCTGTGTTTTGTTTGGTGATTGTAGAGAACTGGATACCCTTTTTACTGGAAACGAGGCATTCCATCTTAGTCCTCAGGAGTGGCAACGCATTTACATTTTAATTCTTAATCGAGGATGGATGTAAATGCTATATAAATAGGGCCACAGCATCCACTTATCATTAGGTGGACTGTGCTCGTTTATCACTCTTACATAACATAAACATAAACACTCACGCCTGTCACCCAGAGGGGTAGGCAGAGACTACAGACTTCCATTTGGCACGATCCTGACACACCTCTCTCGCCTCCTTCACATCCATACACCTACGCATACATGCTCGTCGGTTAAGGGTACTCCTAATTTGGCCCGTTTTCAATAAATCGCCAATTTGGTCGATAAATTTTCGCCTAGGACGTCCCTTACCGACTCTGCCATTCACTTCTGCAACATAAATTTTCTTTGTCACTCTTTCCTCATTCATTCTTTCCACATGACCAAACCACCGAAGCATTCCTTTCTTAATCCTGGTCACAACATCATCTTGCAAACCACACTCTTCTCTTATTACACAATTTCTTACCCTGTCGTTCAGATTCAGCCCTAACATACTCCTTAAGGACCGCATTTCTACTGCGTTGATTCTACTCTCATGCTTCTTCTGCCACACCCAACTTTCACTACCATACGTTAAAGTAGGGACCAACACAGCATTGTGAATTGCCATACGTGCCTTTTTTGACACATTTTGACTCTTCACAATAGAGTGCAGGGCCCCATTTACTCTATTTCCCGTTTCTTATTTTTGTGGTGATTAAAAAAAGTTTTAATCACCACAAAAATAAGTTTGATAATATTCGAATGTCAAAGAGGGCTTTTGAGATATTGTGTGTATTATCAGTTTTCTACACTTGTAATACTTTTCTTAATTTCTTTTAAAACGTTTACAAACATAAATTGCACAAATACAAGCAACCAGCCCCGAAAAAAATTATATGTAGGCCATACAAATACTTGATCCGTGCGGGATCCGTACCCGCGGCCCCCATCGCTGCTTCTCATTGCCACGGACCCGTCTATCGTAATAACAAGGAACTCAGGATAATATATGAAACAGTATATGTTACGGCCCTGAGTTACCCTGACAAAAGAACAGTATGTAATAAAAAAAATCCATTACTCCATAAATTACCCCTAATAATAACTAATAAATATACTCGTATTCATTAATTTATAAAAATATTAATACAAATTATAATTAAACAAAGTAGTGCTTGCACAGCTGTCTTCCGATCTGAAGTCCCCTTAGTCCCGCCATGGACGCGGATATGTTTGTCTTGGTATAATAAAAAGACCCCGGACAACTTCATAACACTTATTTAACTTAAAAACTTAATGCGACGGAGCCTTGTTGAATTGTAAGTGATTTCCGCATAAATATTGACTTTTATATATCTATATTAGTCCAGTTATAACCAACAACACGGAATCATGAACTGTTGCGTCTAAGATAATAAAATAAATGCCGTACATACGTTTACACTTGGTAGAGCCATGCTGCAGCTATATTATGATTGCGGCATTTTTACTGGAAAGAAGCATTCTATGTAAGTCCTCAGAGGTGACAACGCATATTTTGATTTTTACTGGTGGATATAGGTACACACAGTATCTACTTACTATCTGGAGGACTGTACACTCGTTTGTCGTCCTTATTCTGTAAAAAAATATACATCTCCTATAGATTGCAATCGTTCGAATAAGCCCCAACTCGTAAAAGACGTTACGTTTAAGCTTTTGTGAATCAGCAGAAATTATGAGCGGTGGAACCTCGATTTACTTACTACTACTGTAGTTCAAAATTACGTGGTTCCGGTTATAAACTTCCATGAGGATCATAGGATCATAGCCAACGTTAATATTACTTACTTTTATGTTGTTCTAAAACATTGAACATTTTAGTCTTAAAGATAGTAATCAATTCTTTTTAGATAGATTAAATAAATTAAAAGTTAATAAAGCGACCTAAAATTGTCAAGAAGTCTTTCTTTTTGAAGTAAAACATC